GTGGGTGGGGGGGAGAGGGGAGCGGAGAGTGGGGGGAGCGGAGAGGGGTTGCAGAGGGGGAGAAGAGGGAGTCAGCAGTAGCTTGCGTGGCGCAGTGGGGGGTGATGTAGGGTTTTCTAGGGGTTTGCGTTCCTTTCCTTTCCCGGGCTTTACCTGCGTACCTGGCCACACTGGCCCGTACCCATCGCTGCCCCCTTGCAAAACCCAACCTTGCATTTCCCCGCGGGCACGATGAGTATCCCCCCGTCGATCTCTGGTATTTTCTTTTCGTCGGTCGTCTGTGTTCCGTCGCGACCATCACCACCCCCGGGTACGGCACCCAAACCCCCGAACTGACAGGCGTTGGAGACGGATACCCCTCCGGAGCGGTTGGGACTGTCTCCTGCGGAGCAGGACGTGCCGTACCACATGGAGGTCGTACACATCCCGCCGCTGGTGGGTGCCGTACAAGACCGGATGATAGCGGGGTGTGTGTGTATGGTGATGGAGAGGCGCGTAGGCAGGCGGGGTTTGGGGGGAGGGGGAAATAAATATATGGGGATTAGAGGGAGGGGTGTTGAATTTTAACAAAAACCTTCTTCATCTTTAGCATAGGTTGCGGCTTTTTCCTCATCGGAAAGAGGACACGAAACGTTTGAAACGTGTGCAGCGTTCTGAGGGAAATAATTTGAGTGAATTTGTTTGTTGTTCTCTCTTCTCGGACCGTCCCCCCCCCGTTACCCTCATCCGGAATGTCCCCGTCCCCCAATGGTCCCCTCGACACATATACATACATACATACATACATATGATTAGGGTGCCCCTCTAGCAGGGGAGAGCAGGGAACTGCCTCCAAGGGAAAGGGGGCCGCTGGTGAAGCTAAACCACCCTGTAACAACATACATACATACCTCGCACACGTCCTCCGCATGCAGGTCGGTGGACCCTACCCCGGCATCTTTCTCTTCACTCAGACGGCTCGTATGATCCGGCCTGTCGTACAGCTGGGCAGCGGGCGGCGGGAAATGTTGGGCTCCCTGGAGCAGTGCTTCATGTCCATCCAGTGCCCCGACGGGGGGCACGGGGGCTCCCCCGGACTGGCATACACACACAGGGAGCTGAACGCGAGTGAGCGAGGGCTCTGGAAGGGAGGAGAGAAAGGGGGAGTCGTACACTGCGGTTGCGGGTGGTGGGGGTGGGGGTGGGGGTGGTAGTATGAATGTCTTGGGGCCCAATGCCAAGTCTTTGCCTCTCCCCCCCCTCCACACCCACCCACGCAAACACACACCCACCCGCCCTCCCTCCGCAGCCGAACCTTTGCTCCTCTGCTTCAAATGGTCCCGCCCTCGACTCGACACGACACGACACGACACGGCTCGGCTCGGCTCGGCTCGGACAACACGGCTAGTTGGCTCTTTTTTTGCATCATTATCGTCAATATCATCATCATCATCATCATTTTCATTATCTGCAGTATCATTATCACCATCATTATCACTATCATTATCAGCACTAGCACTAGCACTGGCATCATTATTGACCCGGGTTCTCCCCCCCCCCGCCCGTTTCCCCCCTCGGTTGGTTTATGTTAGGCGCCATGCTGAGTGTGGTCGCCTCCCTGACGCCGTACTCGGACTTCAACCAGTCGCCCCGCAACATGTACCAGTGCCAGATGGCCAAACAGACCATGGGTACTCCGGCACAGGCCCTGGCGCACAGGACGGACACCAAGATGTACCGCCTGCAAACACCGCAGGTCGGCGGGGAAATGGGGAGGATGGATTCAAGCTCCGAAACCCCGGGCACGGCCACGTGCAAAATCCGAATCCCCGTGAAAAGGAGGACGGTAAAATGATAGCCCCCTGTGTTAAAGGGGGGATTGAAGAGGCGGAGGGCGGGAAGAGGAGGGGAGGGCAAAGGGGATGACGGGTCTGCACATGGTGGGAAGGGGGGTGGGGCGAGATTGTACGGTGTGGAGCTACGTGGGGAGAAGTTGGCGGGTTTTGACGCGGGTTTTTGTAGCGAGACGACGCGCGTGTGATACACACACACACGCACGCACGCACGCACACAGTTTTGTGACGTCTCTTTGCGCCTCCTATTTCCCCACCACCACCACCACCACCACCACCCCCTCTTTCCTTGGCAGCAGCTTCACTCGTTCGTGGTTCGTCTCCCCCCCACCCCCCACCTCCCCCCACCCTTACCGTATCTGCTGCATCCGCCAGTGGTTCGTCCTACACTCCCCCCCCTTCCCCCCCCTCTTTGTCGGGTCATGGTAAATCCGCAAACGGTTCAACTGTCCAGGCGCCCATCTGCCGTACAATACGGTACGCGGAGTACAAGATGGACGAGTTCCCCAACGGCACGAACGCCATCGTGGCGGTGCTAGCATACACAGGTGCGGCCCGGGGCTGGGGGTAGGAGGCGTTTGGAGGCGCTTTCCTTGCATTTTCCTGAAGTTGTTGCTGAAGTTGTTTTATTTTATTTATTAAACTGTGGGGCTTCTAACACCCGTGTCTCGTCAATGCCTCGCCTACGGGCCTCTCTCCCGTCCCTATTTTGCAACGTGGTACGGCAGGGTACGACATGGAAGACGCCATGATTTTGAACAAGTCCGCTGTGGAGCGCGGACTGGCGCACGCGTCTTTGTACAAAGTGGAGACGATTAACCTCCGTGAAGAGCGAGGATTCAAGGGGATGTTTGCGGCGGAGCCGCATGATAGGAGGTCCAGGGTGAGAGGTTACGACGATATTGGATAACATTATATTTGGATATCCATATGATTGCTGTACATGTTATATCAAATTCTTTTCTCCTCATTGCGTCATCGTTTTTTTAATTTTCAATTGGTGCTTTCGGTGTCGATTTGTAGAAGCTATTTACTTGAATTAATTAGCGTGTATGTGTATTAGCGTGTATGTGTATTAGCGTGTATGTGTATTAGCGTGTATGTGTATTAACGTGTATGTGTATTAGCGTGTATGTGTATTAGCGTGTATGTGTATTAACGTGTATGTGTATTAACGTGTATGTGTATTAACGTGTATGTGTATTAACGTGTATGTGTATTAGCGTGTATGTGTATTAGCGTGTATGTGTATTAGCGTGTATGTGTATTAACGTGTATGTGTATTAGCGTGTATGTATGTATGTATGTCCTCCCGGACCCCTCACCCTCAATCCCCTGAACTGAACCTTGGCCCCCCTTGGTGTGAGGGGCGCGGAATGGTCGCAGTCGCAACAGAACAGTGACCATGTGCGATCAAAAAACGTTTTGTTCATGATCTTGTTGAAAGGCGCTCTCTCTCCCCCAACCCCCCCCCCCCAACACACACACACACACATACACACACACCTCGACGGTCCAATTGTCCCTTTTCTGAACCGCACCTGAAATGCCGCTCCCCATCTCGCACTCAGAAGGGTCTATGTATATGCATGTGTGTGTGTATGTGTGTGTGTGTGTGGAGGGGCCCCCTAGTTCCGGTTCCCGTCCTCGCCATTGCCCCGCGAAAACACACGTACACACACACTCGTACACACACACACTCGTACACACTCTCTCTCCCCCCTCACGCCCCCCACACGCAGGACGCTCTGGCGCACCGCACCCGGCCGGTCGGCGCCTTCGGTCAGCGCTTCCCTCAGAACATACCGGCAGCCGCCGACAGCCCCGCGGTGCTGCGCAAAAGGGGGGAGGCCGGGGGGGACAACGGGCCGGTGCTGGTGCCGGAGCCGAACAATAGAGACGGAGACCGCATTGAACCAGACGGACTTCCCGCCGTGGGATCCATCATCTGGCCGGGGCAGGTGTGTATGTATGTATGTGTGTGTGTGAGAGGTGTGTATGTGTGTGAATGTATGTATGTGTGTGTGAGAGATGTGTGTGTGTGTTTTAGAGGTTGGGAGGAATGTGTTTTGGGGGGCGAGCGGACCTATGTGCAGGCGGGAGGGGAGGGGGATCCCGTGTCTGTGTATATGCGCCTGTATGTAAAAGCCTCGTAGATATGTATGTCTGA